CCAGCAGCCGGACACGAAGAGTCTGGCCAGACAGATGCATGAAGCCTACCTCAAACACTTCCACATGAACAAAGCCAAAGCACGCGTGTTTCTCACGGGCAAGACCAGCACTCCGGTGAGCGACTGCTGTGTTGAGGAACTCACTAGCTCACTCACTCACTCACTCGCTTGTCATTTATGTTGTATTGCTCATGCAACTTTAAAGCTTAACAAAAATGAGGCGATGTTTAAACACTGTCCATTATAGCAGAGAGATCCCAAATGTTTTTGTCAGTTTAACCCCCTTTGACCTAAAATAATTACATGAAGTACCCCTTGAAATTGTAATTCAAATTTGTTGTAATTTCAGTCATTTTTACAACAAATGCGTTCCAAACCTGTATGGTTTTCTTTTTTCTGCGGAGCATAAAAAAGATATTTTGAAGAATTTTGCTAACCAAACAGTTTTGGTTCCTGTTGAATTCCAATGTATTTTTGTCCATTCAAAGGAAGTCAATGGAAACTGAAACTATGTGAATATCAGCATTCTTCAAAATGTGTTCTTTTGTGTTTAACAGAAGAAAGAAATTCATACATGTTTGAAACTGCATGAGGGTGAGTAAATGATGACAGAATTTTTATTTTTGGGTGAATTACCCCTTTAAGTCAGTTTGTTAGTAATTGGTTGCTTTTTTGTAGTTTAAGGAACTACACTACCAGTCAAAAGTTTTTGAACAGTAAGATTTTAAAAGTTTTTTAAAGAATTCTCTTTTTTTTTTTGTTTATTTTATACGAAATACAGCAAAAGCAGTAATATTGTGAAATATTTTTACTATTTATTTTGCTTTCTATTTGAATATATTTGAAATGTAATTTATTCCTGTGATCAAAACTGAATTTTTAGCATCATTACTCCAGTCTTCAGTGTCACATGATCCTTCAGAAATCATTCTAATATGCTGATTTGCTGTTCAAGAAACATTTATTATTATTATTATTATTATTATCAATATTTAAAACAGTTGAGTACACTTTTTCAGGATTCTTTGATGAATAGAAAGATCCAAAGATCAGCATTCATCTGAAATAAAAAGCATTTGTAACATTATACACTTGGAGTCAGTATATAAATATATATTTTTGGGGGTATTATAGAAACTAATACTTTCATTTAGCAAGGATGCATTCAATTGATCAAAAGTGATGATAAAGACATTTATAATGTATAAGATTTCTATTTCAGATAAATTATGTTCTTTAGAACTTTCTATTCATCAGAGAAACCCTACTCTTGGGTTTATGTTTTCAACATAATAATAATAAATGTTTTTTGAGCAGCAAATCAGAATATTAGAATGATTTCTTAAGGATCATGTGACTGGAGTAATGGTGCTAAAATTCAGCTTTGAAATAACAGAAGTACATTACAATTTAAAATATATTCAAATAGAAAAGTTATTTTAAATAATACAAATATTTCAAATTTCTCCTTGAACTGTTTTGCTGTACTTTGTATCAAATAAATGCAGGCTTGGTGAGCAGAAGAGACTTCTTTTAAAAAGAAACATAAAACAATCTTACAGTTCAAAAACTTTTGACTGGTAGTGTACTGGTGTCAAAAATAGTTAATTATTGACTGTATTTTAATGACTCTAAATGAAGTAGCTTGGCGAGCTGCGGTTTCAAAGTTGCTTCCCCAACACTGAGCGACAGGGTGTCAATTGCTAATTAAGAAAACAGTGAGCACTAATTGCACAAGCTATTCAGCACACTTTGAGTTGCACGGTCTGAACGCACACCTGTTCTCTGACTGTCCTCTCTCCATCCTTCATCGAAGCCCTTCGTCATCCACGACATGGACACTCTCCAGCAAGCCGAGCGGAAACTACTCACCCAGCTGCTGGGCAACGTGCCATCCAGAGACGTCTCTACTCTACGGGAGAGAGAAGTGGAGGCCCGGATCTTCCTGTTCAGCCAGTACGCCTCGGTGGTGACGGTCACGGAGCTGACGGAGTTCGCCAAGGCCGTGCCCGGCTTCGCCACCCTGGACCTCAACGACCAGGTGACTCTGCTGAAGTACGGAGTGTACGAGGCGCTCTTCGCCCTGCTGGCCTCCTGCATGAACAAAGACGGGCTGCTGGTGGCTCGCGGCGGAGGCTTCATCACCCGAGAATTTCTGAAGAGCCTGCGCAAGCCCTTCAGCGACATGATGGAGCCGAAATTTCAGTTCGCCATGAGGTTCAACGCCCTAGAGCTCGACGACAGCGACCTGGCGCTGTTCGTGGCCGCCATCATCTGCTGTGGAGGTGAGATGCAGAGAGAGCATGGGAAGTGAAATAGAGGCGGTCTTGAAAACATTTGGAAAGCATTATCTAAATGAAACGCTACTTAACAGTGACTAGCAGCTTTTGAAAATTGGCTCTACTCAGGAAGGAATTACTTGACACGAAATTGATATGGCATGCTGTTACACGATGTACTCCAACTAGAGCTGGGGTGTTGAAACTGGGGGCCGTGGGTCATACAGGGGTGCTAAAGAAGAACATTATTTAACCAAATATAAATTTTTAGGGCTTGCCAAACTTTATTTTAAAGTAAGTATTTATCATATATATTTTTAAAAAGTTATCTTAGGGTATTTGTTAAGTATGGGGAAAGTAATTTATTTATGTATGCATGGATAAATGCTATGCTCATATATCTAGTATCATTAATGTAATAGTAGGCAGAAAAAAAACAAAAGGAATATTTTAAATTGCTTGATTAAATTGCTTTGACTTACAAGTACAGTGAAAAAAAATCTTATTCTATTTTTTACACTTACTATTATTCTGACACAGTATAAATGGGTATTTATACATGATAATTTATATATAAGGTTATATTTAGGGTCTTTTGCATCAAACTTTGGAGACCCCCTATTTTTGAATGCAAATTTAAAGGACCATAAGACTACTACAGTAATGGTGCATTAAATGTATAAATAAATACATACATATATACAAACATACATATTTTATTTAACCTGAAGTACTCTCAGGCTCATCTTACTCCATATTAAAGGGATAGTTCTCCCTAAAAATAAAAATTCTGTCATGAATTTCTCACCCTCATGTTGTTCCAAACCTGCAAGACCTTCGTTCATCTTCGGAACACAATTTAAGATATTTTTGATGAAATCTGAGAGCTTTCTGACCCTGCATAGATCGCAATGGAGCTAAATGTAGTAAGGACATGGTTAAATTAGTCCATGTGACAACAAAGAAAGAAGAGAAGAGAAGAAATTGTTAACTATTTTAACAACGTCCTTACTACGTTTCTGGGCCTCGAACATATCAGTTGCATTGCTGTCTATGCAGGGTCAGAAAGCTCTCAGATTTCATCAAAAATATCTTAATTTGTGTTCTGAAGATGCACAAAGTTCTTATGGGTTTGGGACGACGCGAGGGTGAGAAATTAATGACAGAATTTAAATTTTTGGGTGAACTATCACTTTAATGTAATCTCCTTTGCTGAACTTTAAGTAGGTTAGTTGTGGTTCAAGTTGTTTTTATGTCACCTCTGGAGTCCCACAGCCAGCAGTTTTTGAAAGGCATGACATAATAATGGTCGGAGTGAGATGGGGATTTTGTTCTCTTGAGGGCTAGCAAAAATAAATAACCACAGTTTCCTCTCCTGCTGCCGTGCAGCAGGGACCCGAAAGTAGACGCTTCCACAGACTTGTAGCTCACATCTTCTCAAAACCTAACAGAACCACCGACTCTGGGGGGGGTCACATGGTGTGAGGCCTTTAAGGTTGGAGAAAGGCCGGAATCCCAAGTGGGAGTTTTGAGATACTGGGGAGTTTTTATGACCCTTTGTGTGAGGGCATGGTAATTTGCAGATGGAACTTGAATGGAAATTAATAAAGATTCTCAGGACACTAATATATTGCCTATGTACCAACATATAATATACACGCTCGTTTAGATCATCAGAAGGCGAATTCATAGATACTAAACATGGTAGGATTACATATAGGTAAGATGACAGGAACGAGTGGTTCCATCATAAGCCTGCATAAAACAGTATAAAATCTCAAAGACAACATACACAATGAACTGAAGGATATGTGTGTTCATTCAAAGAAAGGTCTTCCTATGGATTAATTAGAAAATAGTCCATTTCTACTGGGCACTGTGTCTCTTTCTAATTCAAAGGCAGTGATTTTCCCTACTCACATTCCATTAGGTCGTGAATGGCTCTGGTCTAGCAAAGGTGTCGTGGTTGCCATGGTAACCAGTGGCCTGTGGTCATTCACAGACATCCTGGCGCCCAGTCTATTGGGTGAGGGGTCTGTGATGACTTGTTAATCTAATGAATAACTGATTTGTTAAATCAAATGAAAAATTGTGTTTTTGATTGGTCCAGATGCTACAGACCGCAGCTTCCTGGAGGCTGCTCTGTTTTCTTACAACCTATATATGCTAAAGAGACGCAGCGTTAGCAAAAACAAAAAATGCATAATTCAGGAACACACTGTACAGTAGTAGCAGTGACGTCATGATGTTTAATACAAATTTTGACACCATAGCAATTGAACAGGAAAGTCCTTTATTTGAAAAGTCTGGTATTAATATCAAAATGTGACCCTGGACCACAAAAGCGGTCTTAAATAGCACGGGTATATTTGTAGCAAATAGCCAACAATACATTGTATGGGTCAAAATTATCGATTTTTCTTTTATGCCAAAAATCATTAGGATAATAAGTACAGATCATGTTCCATGAAGATATTTTGTAAATTTCCTACCGTAAATATATCAAAACTTAATTTTTGAATTGCTATGTATTGAATTGCTATGCACTATGCATCGCTAAGGACTTCATTTGAACAACTTTAAAGGCGATTTTCTCAATATTTTTTTTTTTTTGCACCCTCAGATTCCAGGATTTCAAATAGTTGCATCTCAGCCAAATATTGTCCTATCCTAACAAGATACATTTCCATACATCAATGGAAAGCTTATTTATCATTTGTAAAATCTTTTGTCTAAAAATATTATTGTACACTTTATAGCACTCCAACTGTAATTTTATTGTACAAACGTGTTATGTGTTCCGACTTGGTACCTGTATTCGATTGGTAAATTATTGTTTTATTGATGTATTTGGGTTTTTTTCAAGGAAAATTAATTTTCGTAGCATTTCGAGCAAAATCTACTAGAGTTGACAATCCACAAGACTTGATCAGAAAGTGCTTTGTAGACTGTTGCAGTTTTTAATGAATCATTTCATCTTTAGTTGTGGCTTTTGGGTGCGTAATTACCGACCGATCTCATCTGGTGTTTGTAGTTTGAAATGAAATGTCACGTTGCTGAAAATATTTTCTAAAAAACCTGAAATGAGCGGCGTGGACGTGTTTATTTCTGGCGCCATCTTCTGTGTAGTCTGATGTACTGCAAGCGTAAAGTGTCAAACGGAAACGCCGAGCCTGTCCTTCTTGACGCACCGTCGTGACGTCGCAGCAGCATCATGGTCATGGCGCGCTGTCAGATCGCGTGCTCACTCAAAACAAACCGTTAGGATGTGTTTGAATGGGACGTAGAGGTTGTGCAGCACGAGAAGCGCACGGTTACATGATGGATGTGAACGAAGGGTCCGCGCTCGGCGTCTTCACCTGCGAGCTGTGAGAACTGTCCAGTCCCTGCAGCTTTCTCCGGCCAGAAGCCGCCAAACACCAGAGCAATAGTGTAAGTACAACAGTGTTTGTGATTGATGAAATAGATATGAACATTACATTCCTGGCACATTTTTGAATCAGGCTGCCAGACTGCAAAATGCCAAATAAGGACTTGCCACAAGACGCCCAAGAACCGAAATAGTTATTTCCTCACCCTCATGTCGTTCCAGTACTCTACCTACCTACCTGTCTGTCTGTCTATCTGTCAAACTCGTATAACGTAAGTCAGCAGTAACCAAGACTGATGGTTATCAACGGTCTTCAAAATATTGTGTTTTGTGTTCCAGTTACACAGGTTTGCAACATTAGGCTGAGTAGATGATAAACGAATAGTCCATTGTTTATCGTTTGTTTGGTTCCCCATTAGCTTCCACAGTGGGTGCTAGTCTTCCTGGGGTCCACAAATCAATCCAAGACAAACAGTCTTACAAATAAATAAAAACGAACAGGAATACAATTTCACTTATCCAGGGTTTCTACAGACATGAACCAGTTTTTAAGACCTTTTTCATACCACCTCATATGAAACTTGAGACCTAAACCTGTAATGGAAATACACATTTTTATTACATGCGTATATGAACTTTTCATGTCAGCAGACAATATTCCATACAAAATATCCCTGCAAAATAACGGCATCGCTGAGATTTTTGGTGGAGTATACGATTTATTCTGAAGCAATATTTCCATCAGAGTTCTATCAGCTTTTACGTACTTAAATCTGCATATTTACCTTTACAAAGGCCTATTTTTAACCTTTTTAGATGTATGCATCATCTTACATGTCAAATTATTACAATTTATCAATAAATTCAATATACACTATAGGGCTGCTACCAGTCAGATTAAATAATTTACACTGCAAATAACAATAATTACAACAGCAATAAATAATGTTATGAGATTAATGTTTTAAATGCATTTATGAATATACAAATAAATGTTGAGGGGGGAAAATGCATACTTTCCAACAAACTTCTAAACTGAACTACCAGTACGTGGCGGTAAGTCACTTAATGAGTGAGTATTGAGTCATTCATTCAACTGATTGAGTGTGCTATCATGCTGCTATCTTAAGGACTTTCGTATACAGCTGACTCCTAAAGTTTTTCATATTCTTCATATTCTGTGTGGTGGTCAGATAGAAATGAATCTTTTCCAATAAGTTTAAATTGATTTTTACCTTTTAAGGGCATTTTACCTTCATAAAGCCATTTTTTCTATAAGTGGGCGTTATCTTTTGAGTCAAATTCTTACATTTAATCAGTGAATAAGAATAAGACATTTGGGCTGTTACCAAGCAAATGAAATCAGTATCAACAAAATTCATCTTTGCAATCCAGACATAAGCTGCACCTGAAGTGGCATTTAGATGTATTTACACACTGTTTAATGCAGAAAATGAATGCATTTAACCTGCCGTTACAAATGCATAAATAATTTTATATATTAAACATAAAAAATTGAATACTGATATTTGAAATGATTTAAAGAATGAAAAGATACTGTAAATGTGAAATTAAAACCGCCAGTAGGTGGCAGCAAGTCACTGTTAAGAAGTGAGTTTGAACCGAATCATTTAAACGGTTGATTCATTCAGGAACAAAACGCTGTCATGTTGCTCAGAGACGCAAAACAGCGCTGTGGCTTTGTTTGGAATCATTTTTGTTGGCGAGATTGTTGCAAAAACAGGCATTATGGTGTCTAAAATGTAAGTCTCTTAATAAAACTTCTAGTTTACTGAACTGTTGTAAAAAAATTTAAAAAATCAATATTACAGTTGTAGGCTATATGGTAATTTTTGGAGAAAAAAGGCACTCTTCCATGTGAAATTGATTAACTATAAGAAGTGGTGTAAATATACATATTTTCTGCCCCATGTCTTGAATTTGTGATCATTCTGAATGTATTTTAATAGACTGAATCATGCAGTGAAAGAGGGCACTCTAAATGCGCACGCGCACTAGACTTCATGTAATGCATGCACTCTGTAGGTGTTTTGAATGTTTGTTTTTTTTTGCGTCGTGGGAATATTGAGCATGATGTTACTTAAAGGTCCCCTGAAATGCTTAGAAACACGCAGCGTTACTCTGTGTTGACGTCATTTTAACTGAAACAGGAAGACAGGGCGGGACATATCAAGCAGCCCCGCCCTTTTTTAAAATAGCCAATAGCGTTCGTTTATATCACAGCTTGGGCTAGAGCCGTTGAGCTCCTAAAGCCGCATTTGACAGGGTATGCCAGCCAGAGTGTGTGTGCGGTGCGGTGGTTAGCGTGACATAGCGCGAAACCTGATTTCTTTTGTTTCCCCAATGGAAAGCATATTTACACTGTTTGAATCGTTCCCTGTCCCCTATATAGTGCACTACGTGCCATTCACTGTACAGAAAATACTAATTCTGTGGACAAGTGACCGATTTCAGCCGCGGCTTCAGCGTCTATTTTATAGTGTAGGGGGCGGCGCTTCGGATTCTAGAGAGCATTTGATTGGACAGAAAGTTTGATGAGAAGCTGAAGTACGATGTGACGTCAAAAAAATTGTTGAGCCGTTTTGGCGGAAGTGACGAACTGCAAGCTTTGAATGCTTATATCTTGTAAATGCGAATTTTGTCACTGTTTTGGAGCGCACTGCCTTATAGATAACCTTAAAGGGATAGTTCACCCAAAATGTTGAACATAGAAGATATTTTGAAGATTGCTGGTAATCAAACTGTTGGTGGTTGCCATTGACTTCCATAGTATTTTTTTTTTCCTACTATGGAAGTCAATGGCAACCACCAACTGTTTGATTACCAGCAATCTTCAAAATATATTTTTATGTTCAACATAAGAAAGCAACTCATACAGGTTTGGAACGACATGAGGGTGAGTAAATGATGACAGAATTTTTGGGTGAACTATCCCTTTAAGACTAACATATTGATACTAACACCCAAAAAAACTTTCATTTTGATTTCATGGGGACTTTAACTATACCATGTTATGAATAAACTAAACATTCAGAATTTTTACCTCAGTGTGTTTCTTCTGAGTTTATGTGTGCTGTTACGCTCATTTGTTATGAAGACTCTCACAAAGACAAACAGAGTGAGCTTCAGCGCGAGCTTGTATTCTGTATTCTGCTAACTTACTGCAATTCTCTCTGATGAAGCGGTAACTTACAGCGGGGAAGAACAAATCTTCAGTCTGTCCAATGATTGTAAACAGCCATTAGGTCCGTCAGACTTGAGATATTTTAGCGGTAATGTGACCAAAAATATTTAAGACCCATCGAATCCGAATTTAAGACTTTTTAAGGCCTTATATTAGGAAAACGTTATTTAAGACTTTTTAAGGACCCGCGGACACCCTGTTATCACATCACAAAACTATACATCTCCGCAATTGCAGAACTTCAAATGTACATCTACAAAACTATACATCTCAGCAGTAGCAGCAGTTGAGAGGATCTGCAAGGAGGAATGGCAGAGGATCCCCAAATCCAGGTGTGAAAAACTTGTTGCATCTTTCCCAAAAAGACTCATGGCTGTATTAGATCAAAAGGGTGCTTCTACTAAATACTGAGCAAAGGGTCTGAATACTTAGGACCATGTGATATTTCAGTTTTTCTTTTTTAATAAATCTGCAAAAATGTCAACAATTCTGTGTTTTTCTGTCAATATGGGGTGCTGTGTGTACATTGAGGGAAAAAAAAGTAACTTAAATGATTTTAGCAAATGGCTGCAATATAAGAAAGAGTGAAAAATTTAAGGAGGTCTGAATACTTTCCGTACCCACTGTACATCTACATATTTATAAGCAAATCTTCACATTTTCTTCGAAATGCATATGTACAGTTACTCTTTCGTTTATTTATGGGAACCATATTCCAAGCAACAGAACCTCGATAAAGTACAGTCTTTTTCATCAAATTTGTGGACACGGTAAAAAAAAAGTTGAGCCTTACTCACTTGAAGTGTTTTCTAATATATATTTTATAAAATATATGTCTCAAGTCCCACACAAACAAGCTTTTCAAAGAAAAAACAAGGAGTTTGATACTTCATTACTTTATGAAAATATAACGACAATCGTAAATGAAATTTAACTTTGACCAGCAACCATGATAACTTTATGCATATCACTAACATTAGCCCGAAATGGATAATGAAGCACTAGTCCGGCAGCTCTATTCTGAACCATCTAAAGTTTTTTTTTAGGTGTTTCTCAGATGCACTTGACCATAGGGCAGTCCTCAAGATGCGATAAAACTAATGGCTGTACCACAAGTTTTAAAAGTAAAGATGGAATAAATTCAGAACATTTCCTGACCACCGCTATACCTTTTCCCATAGTGTTTACTTAATAATCTAATCTTATGTTTGGACCAGGACAACGTATTGTCAAGTATCACACCCAGCAACTTAACATTTGCTACTTGTTCCACTGGCACCCCATTAATAAATCAATTCAAATCAGCAGCCTTAGTCATATTATTTTTATAACTAAAAACAATACATTTAGTTTTTTCTATATTTAAAATTAGTTTATTAATTCAAACCCACTTTGTAATTTTTAACAGCCTACCACTTACATTTTCCTGAAGCTCAGCTCAGGCCAAAAGTTTTGGCAGTGACATAAATTTTGTTTTGCAAAGTTTGCTGCTTAAGCTGTTGTGGTGTTCATTCACATTGTTTCTAGATTATTGTGTAGAGTGATCAGATGCATTTTAACTAATTGCTAAAAGCTTAAGTGGCCAAAAAATTCACTCTTCACAAAAAAACTTTTTTGATCCTGACACAGAATGACCAGCTAACATTAATTGACTAATCATATCAGCAGCACATGTGACAGTGTGAACGAGTACTAGTCAGGTGAAATCACTATCATACTCATTAGATTGTAAGAGCAGACTGATTGTTATAAAAAGAGGGAAGAAGCGCTTCCAATCATTGTGTTCTTGTTAGCAATGGTTATCTCCAAAGAAACACATACAGCCATCATCACTTTGCATCAAAAAAAGTTATTTTC